AAAAAAAACTCACTGCCATTGAGTCAGTTCTGACTCATAGTGACCTCCACGGGGTTTCTGAGGCTATAAATCTTTACAGAAGTAGATTGCCACATCTTCCTTCCTCAGAGCAGGTGGTGGGTTTGAACTGCTGACCTTCTGGTTAGCAGCCAAATGCCTTATCCAATACGCCACCAGAGCTTCTTTCCACTAACAAAAGGCTTACTTTTTTCCTTGGTAAATTGCAGATATAATAATTATGCTACAGTCATTTCAACCAGCTTTGAATTATTTTGAACAATTACTGAGAATTTGCATTTCCACCACAGATATACTGAACCAGAATCTATAGTTTAACAAGAGCACCAGGTGATTTTTATAGATGTACTCTTTTAGATGTATACCTAAGAATTATCTGGGGCTCTTGTTAAATGTGGATTCTGATTAAGTATATCGGGTGGAAATGCAGATTCTCAGCAAGGGTTCAGAACAGCCAAACCAGTTTGAAGCCCTGGTTTAAACAATGAATGAGATAATGTATATAGAATGAATAGCACAGTACCTGTTCAAATATTAAGCACTAAACATATGATTAAAACAAACTAAACCCGCTGCCGTCAAGTTGATTCCAACTCATAGTGATCCCCTTTGGGTTTCCAAGGTGGTAAATCTTTATGGAAGTAGATAGCCCTATCTTCCTGCTTCCAGCAGTAGAGTGGCTGGTGGGTTTGAACTACCAACCTTCTGGTTAGCTGTCAAATGCCTTAGGCACTGCACCACCAGAGCTTCTTAAATATATGATAGGTGTATTAAATTATGCTCATTTCTATCATTACAGTTTCTTCCTTATCCTTTAAAATTGTGTATGGCTCGTTGGGCATAGTTCAGAGCAGGGAGCCACTCCCCCCCACACACACACACTTCTTCACCAAATTTCAAGACATGAGCTTTGTAGCACTCTGATAGAATTTCTTGCTCTGTTTTCAGCTGTTTTTAATAATTTCATAGAACATTTCTACATCGAAATTTAAATAAATTCAGATTACCCTATTTGGATACCTCCCATTTGTTTCTAAACATTTTAGAGCTGACCATATCTATTCTCTCTTATTTAACAGGTGAGAAAACTGGTGTCAGTGAAGTTAAGTCATTTGGTGATGGTCACATGGGTTGATAGTTGTGGAACTAGACTTAACCTGGTTTTTAGGTGTTGCTAAGTGCTGTATGGTGTAAGAAATTACTCTTGCCCTCACAAAGTCTAGTTGGAGCAGCAACACCTGGAAAAAAAGAAAACAGATGAATATATGAAAATACAGTTGTACAAAGTAGTCGTCAGTCCGTCTGTGGTGGTGCCAAATAAGTAGCAGAGATACTTGTTTTTGAAGGAAGACTGGGAAGTGTCCTCTAGCTGGGCAGCCACACACCCAGGAAGAACAGAATATGGTAGATGTCTAGCAGTCTTTACCACAGGATATTTTCATTGTTCGTTCCATGATCACATCTTCCAAGATTAACATATTACTTCTTTCTTTTTCAGGCAGAATTGGGCCTGAATGACCACCATCAAAATGAAGTTATTAATTATATGCGTTTTGCTCGCTCAAAAAGGGGCTTGAGACTCAAAACGGTAGATTCTTGCTTCCAAGACCTCAAGGAGAGCAGGTATCTGTGGACTTTAAGGAAACCAAATGGAAACATGGGCCCTTTCTAGTAGCCAGTATGGGGGTATTATAGCAGAGGCTATAACAGGTTGTTTCTGGGAGTAGGGTGATCAGTTATTCAGTCAGAACAATTGCACTAAAGCTCCTAATATATGAAACTCAAGAATTGGATTGTGGTGGGGGCGGTGGATGTAATATATTATCAGAAATGCACATGGATAATGACTGATTGCAAAACCACAGAAGGGCAGTCAGGAAGTTGCAAAGGGCTTGTGAACTAATGATTGGTTTACTGTATTAGAGATTGCAGAACTGTCATTATTTAAGTTATTAATGAAAATATTAAAGCTGTAAGACATGGCAGTTAGCAAGAAGGTAAGCAGTTCATGTTGGAGAATTAGGAGGAAGGAAGACAGCAAGAAACCATAAAAAGCTTACTGACCAGTCCAGATATTTTTAGATGATTTGTAGTAAGAGGTGATAAGTAGTACATTTGGATCCCCAGTGGAAGATAATTAAAGTCCATGGAAAATGTATATTTGATCCGAAGGATATTGGGGAACCAGAAAAAGCAGTGAATAAGAAAGGAGTATCAGATTACTTGAGGATCAGACTTTGGCACATTCAAATGTCAAGTACTACCTCAGTGAAAAAGGCCTTTGAGTGAGCTACAACTATCATAAAGTCTTGAACTTTCCTCAGTAGGGGAGGCCATCAGCCGAGACTGTTATCTATTTAATCCATTAATCTAATCTGGTAATCTGGTTTCATAACCCCCAGCAGGTGAAAGCAGCAGTTTAATTAGAGAAGCTGAGTGGTGGCCAGAGGATGTACTTCAGTAGTCACCTTAGGCATCAGAGTGCCTTAATTCTGTTCATAATGACTTTGGGTTATCAAAAAATAAAATTTAAGCAAGGGCTGCCTTTCTGTTTATGGTGATGGAAAATTCTCATTGATTAAGGGTAATGGTTGCACAGCCAATTAATGTAATTGGTGTCAATAAGTTACACACCTGTAAAAATTGAATTGGCAAATACAGTATGATAGATGGTTTACAACAACAAAAAGCAGCTGCTGTGCTTATGTACAACCAAACTCTTGATGAAATTTGGTTTCTTAGTTTGGAAGTTTGGAGATTTAATGTCATGGCTTCATGAGACATCCCAGTTAATTGGCCTAATATCGGTTTAAATGCTTCTGTTCTGCCTCCTAGTTTATCATGTGCCTGGGTCTTAAAAGCTTACAAGCAGCCTCCACAATTAGCATAGCTAATTGCCTCCATGAACAAATGCCTCCTTTGCAATGAGACCAGAAGAACTAGATGATGCCTAGTTCTTATCAAAGTTTTTATCAAGGACTCAATAGAAGAATCCTGATCAAAATGGAGGAGAACATGCAGAAGAGAATTTCCAAAGTTTATGGAATCCAGACTTTCTGGAAACATTGAGACTTGATTAACCCCCAAACCTATTTCCCTGGGATAGTCTTTAAACCTTAAACCAAAATATCCCCTGCATTCTTCATAGCGACCCCCTCCTTGGGTTTCCCAGGCAGTATCACTACGGAAATAGATTGCCCAACTAGACTGGTGGATTTGAACTGCCAGTCCATTTTCTATGGACTTTAAGGCTTCCAGCCTTCTGGTAGTCAAATGCCTTAGGCACTACAATACCAGAGCTCCCTCTTTAAGAAATAGGTTGGCTTATTAGTGAAGAATATCTGCCTTGAGCATCGTGCTCTTCTAAAGTACTGTATGTGATCATATTGTCAATGCCAACTCAAAAGGTTAGACAGGAAGCCTAGTGAGCAGGGACTTTATGTGCGTGGAGAGGAGCAGTTCCAAGGCAGGATGTGAAGGGCTGTACAGCTTGAGGAACGTCATCAGTGTCACTGGATTGTACATGTAGAAATTGTTGAGTTGGTGTATATTGTGTATATTTTCAACAACAAAAATAAAATTTTTATAAAAAGGTTTCAGCAGATTTGATATGTTCTATTCAAGAAATGAGGAAGATTCTCAATTTATTTAATAAGGACTTTCAAAAATAGTATAAAGTTTTGGGTTTTTTAAGAGTGCTTAAATTCTGCTGGATAGATGAAACATTAAAAAATTGAAAATCAAATACTGATTAACTTGAGAATGTGTTTGTATAATATAATTATGATAAGATTTTGGCACAATGGAACTTTCCATTATGTCCTTTTGGAAGTAAGGATGAAGGTAAAGATGAGGCTGGGTCAGTTGCACTTGATCTGCTAAGAGCTCTACCTTTAAGGGAAGAGGCAGGGAGAGGACAGGACTGTGTTACCGTGAAACTCCTAGAAAATAGGTAATGTACTTACTCTGACAGAAGCTCTGTCAGGGATGCAGCTATTGGGCATTGTAATGAGATTGCTGCAGCTTAATTGTGGGGTTGAGTCGTTCCCCCCACCCCCCACCACGGATATTGGACAAGTCACCTCCACCCTCCACACCTGTGTTCCTGTCTGTAAAGTGAGGGGTTTGAGGACATTTCTTTCCAACCCAGACAGTCTCTATGTGAGAATGGACTTTTAATACTATTTTTGATGATGTTCATTTCTATAGAGTAGCCAGTAGATCTTTCACTAAGATAAGTTAGGTGAGGTTTTTTTTCCCGTTTAGGTCTCAAGAATGTTACCAAAAAAACTAAACTCACTGCTGTTGAGTCGGTTGAAACTCATAACGACCCCTCCTTGGGTTTCCAAGGCAGTATCTCTACAGAAGTAGATTGCCCAACCTTCCTTCGGAGGTATGGCTGGTGGGTATGAACTGCCAGCCTTCTGGTTAGCAGTCAAATGCCTTAGGCACTACATCACCAGAGCTCCCTCGAGAATGTTAAAAGTGAAGAAAACCAAAGACTGATGGAAACAATTAGTCCTAGCGAGTGGTACACAATGCACTCTGCAGCCTATACAACTAAGACCAGAACTAGATGGTGCCCAGAGTGGAGGGGGATCTCTGTAGGAGATCCTGGATAGAGAGGGAAAACAATGTGGAACAAAACTCAAAATCATTTGGAAAAAGAAAGGGGGGACCAGGTTTGTTGGTCTATAGAGCCTGGTGGAACCACTGAGATTATGGCCCCTAGCTGCCCTTCAGGTCTGGAATTGAACCCACATCTGTGGCTTCCAGCCAAACAAAAGACAGGTATATGAGTTGAACATTTACCAGAGGTAGATACACTCCTTGGAGAGATAAATTATGGGAGAAAGAAGGGCTACTTATGCACAGGGAGACAGCTCAGGGTGCAGGGGTACATGGAGGGATGAACACCAGGGAAGAGGTAACTATTGGGAGGAAGTGGGAGGGGAGCTGTTGCATTGGGATAAATTGTACTCAATGTCATGAGACAAAGTGTATGTGAACTGCTTTATGGCAAGTGAATTTGCTCTGTAAGTTTTCACCCGAAGTACAATTAAAAAAAAAAGTAAAAAGAATGTTAAGAGAAGCAATATATAATTACCGTTTGTTTTCTCATATTATAGACAATTGCTAATATGCAAATAGTTTATACAGTTATTAAAGTGCTAAAAAACAATGAAAAGGAGAAACTATATCTTCCAGTTGACTTTTTAAATTATTAAATGTGATGAGAATGCTTAGTGGAGACTGAAGTAAAAAATGAACATTTAAAACTGAAAAGCAGAAAAGAGTAGGTGACAGTGTTAGGAATGTTTCTGAGACTGCATTTGTATTAAAAGGTATTCACATTTAAAGAATCAGCCACAATTTAATGGTTTGAATATACATCAGAAAATGCATTGAACTTCAATGATTTTCATTCTATTTTACGAATAAACAAGATAGTTCCCAGAGAGATTTTCATTATAACCTTTAATCTCTTAGATGACATGATGTGAGTTTCTTTTTTGTTTTAGTTTGTTAGTTATTTTTGTTATTTATCCAGAAGTTTTGGGTCGTGGTTGTTTTTCAGGCTGGTGGAGGAGACCTTCACCATAGATGAGGTCTCCGAGGTCCTGAGCGGGTTGCAGGCTGTGGTTCATAGCGAGGTGGAGTCGGAGCTCATCAACACTGCCCACACCAATGTGTTACTTCTGCGGCAGCTATTTTCACAAGCTGAGAAATGGTACCTTAAGCTACAGACAGACATTTCTGAACTTGAAAACAGGTAATGGAATTTGTACCTGCAATTAGAGAGCCAAGCATAATCTATAAAAGTTAGTGAACTTCTTTGCTACTGCTTTCTCTAATAGCTGGTGTGTGGAAAATTTGCAGAAAAATGCAGCTAGTAACTGAGTGACCTCTTAGGCGCCTCCCAGTGTCCTCTTTAAAATTCTGTTTGCACTGTTCCTAGCAGTGTAAAGGCCTTGAGATATATGAAGTTGCTTTTCAGGCTATCATTAATTATTTATTACTGCATCTTTGTTAGTTTGATAATATTATAGTCAGTCTTTAGAGATAGGTCAGCTAAGAAATAAAAATTATGAAATAGTTGAGAAATTAATTCAAACATAAATATCAATTCAGTCAAGTAGTTTTAGGAGTTTATTTCTAAATAACTATTAGGTACATTTAAGATTATGTACTTACTATCTTTAAAATCAGAAGGAAGGTTGGGCAATCTACTTCCATAGTGATACTGCCTCAGCAACCCAAGGAGGGGTTGCTATGAGTCAGGTCCAACTCGATAGCAAATAACAACAACATCATCTTTAAAATTGAACCTCCTGTTTTATAGTCTGAGCAATATGAAAGAGCTTATTAATTTAAAAAAAAAAAGTCATAAAAATAGTGAAGTTCAAACTCATTTTAAGAAAAGGCATCCCAGAAATCAGGAAAGACTAATGTCAGCCCTGTGAACCGTTCTCTGAGCACGGTGTCCCATGTAGAGAGTGTTAAACACCGATGACAGCCTGTGGGTGGCAAAGGTAAACCATGTAACTTCAGCTCTATAAGTAGGTAAATTAGAAACTGACATGTGTCTGGGGCAAAAAATTCTGGAAATAAGTGCTTAGAGAAGTAGTTCTTGCCATTCATGCTGTAAGCTCTCCTTGACGTTTGCAAATCAAAGGAAATAATCAGAATTGTCCTCAAATCTTTATCTGTCCTGTGAAAATATGATGCTCGTTTTCAGTAGATCTTGTGCACTAATCTCACTGTTTTATTAAAATCAGTTTGCATTTCTGAACACCTACTAGCTAGCAATGTATATTATGTCAAAGTGCAGTCTCCTTATGTTGTTGTAGCTGTTCGGTGCTGTTGACTCAGTTTTGAGTCATAGCGACACTATCTACAACAGAACAAAAATTCTCACCTGCAGTGCAGGAGACCCGGGTTCAATTCCCAGCCAATGCAGAGGTTGAGATGAATCTCCTTATATAGCACCTTAAATATAGAGTTGACTAAAATGTTTCTCATATTTGTATTAGCACCATAGTTTAATGTTAGCCATGTATGTGGTACAACCAATAAATGCACAATACTAGGTGCTATGGAGAATACAAATCTGAGTTCATGGGTTTGGATTCTTGATCATTTGTAACAAAGTACTTTTTTGTCCCTCTAGTTCCTGCTCTCTGGCATATAAGGTACTGGTGATTTTAGTACTTTTGTGTGTGATATAAATATATTTTAAATGACATGTTTCACATTTGCTTATATCTTCCAGAGAGTTATTAGAACAAGTTGCAGAATTTGAAAAGGCAGAATTTACATCTTCAAACAAAAAGGTAATTTTTGGTAATTCTAAGTCCATATATTAATATCCACTATTTAAAATCCTCAACTCACACAAAGCGTTTGGAGGTTAAAGTGAAAACCCTCAAAGAGAAAAACATTAGACTCCAGTAGAATTCAAAAATCGCCTCCCAGATTTTCAGGCAAAAGAAGAAAAGCTCTGGAAATAGCAGTGAAAGATTCTGTTTTGTCTCTTACAGCACAGCGGCCCAGTCCTCGCAGTCCAGCCCAAGTTCCAGCCACAATAACCTCTTCTCTCACACATTGCAGCACAGACCCAGGGGTCAGCCAGACATCCTGGCTGTCACTCCTTAGCTCTGTGACTTTGAGTGGGTTGCCTGACATGGCTGAGCCTCATTTTCCTCATCTGTCAAATGAAGACAATCCCAGCAGTTAACCTGCTACTTCTCTTTCTAATCCTTCTGATCATTTGTCATGGCCACTTGCTGTTTCAGTGTATGGATATACCATAAACATTACCTGTTATTGGGTATTAGAACATTGCTGAGACAAATCCATTGTACCTACACATAGAAAACAGTTTTCCAGTTATTCCCGTGGGACATATTTCTGGCTAAAAAGTTTCTGGATTGGTGGGAATGGATTCTTTTACTTTTAATACATACTGCTAACCTGCCAGAATATTTGTGCCAAGTTACTCTTCACTTTTAGTGTAGTTGTCTGAATCGTCACCAGTATTAGTCTTTCAGAGTCTGTGGTTTATGCAGAAATCTGTTTCCAGTCCCGTGGGTTAAAATCCCAGTCCTCACACACAAGAATCCCTATACAGGTCTGGCTTTGAGTTCCTTTCCTCTCACCTCCCTCCCTCCCTTCCTCCCTTCCTTCCACATGTGCTTTTCAAAGCACATGGAAAGGATTGGTCTCATTTTTATCCCTCAATGTTTTGGGCATTGTGTGCCATGTACTGGACATAGCACAGAATCAAACCAATTAAACTACCTATACTCTCAGAGCTGACATCCTAGTGCATATGTTTACACAGTGTCTGCCATTATAGGGTGATATAAGTGTATACTAATTATAAATGCTTTGTTCTTTGGTGATTTCAGTTGGGCTCCTTCCTTTTGTTGTAGCCCGTCTTAGATGTCATAAAGCCAAAACTTGCTCCACTTAATGAAGGCGGAACAGCAGAACTCCTAAACAAGGTAATGTTCTCATCGCTCTGAAAAATGGCAAAGCCTCTCACACTGTCCTCTCATTGCCGCACAGCTCCAGAATAGGGAAGGAAGTGGGTTCAGTCTCCAATCCACTGAGGGCATTTCATCCATTGTAGTTTTACTTAATGGTCCCAGGTCCCAGGTTGGCCAGAAGAGGGCATCCTTATCTTCCAGAAACTGAAGCAGAGTGATACTTGAGGTTTGTGATCTGTGATAACAATAAAGGGTTTTTATTCTTATCAAGAGGTTCATAAAAATTATAAACATACAAATAAATATTTTAATGCCTCCTATGTTCTTAACATGGTGCTAAATATTGTTAGAGATAAAAAGCAATGTAATACCTGGTTCCTCGACCTCAGAGAAACTTTAACAGACTTACTGGAAAGGTAGAACTAATATTCCTAAAAGAATTAGAGACAGGAAAATACCTAACCTGTGTGCCTCAGGTGTCATAGGATTACAGAGAAAACTATTCTATGTAGATGAGAATAGTTGAGGACAGCCTCTTAGGAGCCAGGGTGACTGAGCTGGGCCTTGAAGGGTAAAGACAGATTGAATTGTTAGAAGGAAGAGAAGGGGGCA